TCAGGAATCCTTGTCTGCTCTGGTTTATTCTGCCCTTCCCAAAATGGGAAGAGATTCCTCCCCAGGTGGGGCATCCTGAGAGCATCAGGCTGGACTGACCCTAAACCCTGGGGGGCTGCAGGAGCCTCAGGAGAAATCCCAGCCACCACCCTGAGCCCCAAACTGGGGAAGGCAGCAGCAAAGGAACCCAGGCAAGGCAGGGGAGGCAGGAACCAGCAATTAGGTTAATCAGATTTGCTGCACTGCCTGCAACAGAGGACTTTCCATTCATGCAGGGGAAATTTTACTGGGCTCCACATGCAGATGAAACTCAGAAATCAGTGTGGATGGGGCTCTGCCCCTCCACAGAGACCCCTGGGAGGCAGATCCTCCTCCAGGGGAGAACCTTCCCTTTGGCTTTCCCAACTCAAAAAGGCCTCTGTGCATCACTCTGGCTAATAAAAGCAACACTTGAGCAATAAGAGTTCCCATCATTCAGCAAAAGCATCAGAAGCTCCCAGCAAATGTACCTAAGGGGTTTTTAACAAAAGCTGAGGTTCCTGAAGCCTCCTCAGCTGCAACACTTCATTAATTGCTCATTTCCTGCTCAAAGACCTGCAAAACAGGCAGAGGGTTCCTTCACTGCAAGAGTCTAATTGGATTCAGAGGGAGGTGAGAGGCAAAAGGGAGGAAACCTGAGTGGAGATCCCAAAGCCCCAGACTTTGGGATCCAAGTCCCTTCAGCTCCCCCTGCCTCAGTTTCCCCCAGCTGGGAGCTGATGGGACAAGAGCTGTGGTTTGTTTTTTAAACCAACATGCAGAAAGCAGAAGAATGCCAGTTATGCTTCAGAAGCACCCTGGCCAGGGTGCCAGCAGTTAATTCCTTGGAGAGCTTTCAGCATCATTCCAGGAAGATGGAAAATGTATTTATTTCTTCCTGCTGGGTGTGGAGACAACTCTTCATCCAAAATTCCTCCCCATGGGCACAGAGTTAGTTTCAAATAAATAAATAAATAAATAAATAAACAAACAAACAAACAAACAAATAAAT